ATGCTGCTTGGCCTGCTGTGTTCATCCAGCTCTACACCTTGTTATCTCAGGCACTCCAGCATCTGCAGTTCCTACTATCTCCAGTTTAAAACATGTTGGATACTGAAATAGATTTTTTTAATGGAGTGTATTTGTCACTGAAAGACCCAACAGGGCTCGTAGACAATAAGATGATCACAGGGCAGAGATTTATTTCAAATCTCGACTTCCCTCCTGCCTCTTTCAAGCGTGGGAGATCTTTGAACTAGAGGTCTTGATCTTTTACTCCAGTTTCCCAACAAATAGTTGTTCCAAAATGAGACAGCGTGGTTTCATTTCCACCCCACATAGCTATCTTCCAGCTCATAATACCCCTCACACATGTAATATTTTCCCTTTTATTCCAAAGATGTGAGTCATGTGGACTATATGAATGAGAACAATTAACCATGACTTTGCCTTTTTTACCTATGAGTCGAATTAACGAGTTCAAACAAGCTATGTGATTAAGGGGCAGAGTCACACATCACACCCACATCTAGTTCTTTTCCATTCAGATGTAAACAAAAACTAACCTCCATCCTTCAACAGCTTTTAATGACAGCACAGCAACAAAAAGGGTCTAGAAGCTGCTTCATTAAACAGAGTAAAGGGCTTTGTTATGTTACTTTAACTACATTTACATATTCATCTTTGTATGGATCCTCAAATTCAAATTTGAAACCTATGATATTATCAGGATATATGGTTTAAGAACAGTTTCTTCCATTCTGTTATCAGACTGGTGAACAGACCTTTCATATAATAGAGTTGATCTTTCTTTGACAATTTTCTGTAGCTATAACACCATATTCTGCATTCTATTCTACAGCCCTGATGTACTTATGTAAGGTGCAATATTCCCTATTCCCAATTCCTTCGCCTCTGCCACATCTGCTCCCAGGATGAGGCATTCCACTCCCAAACATCTCAGATGTCCTCGTTTTTCAAGGACCGCAACTTCCCCTCCACAGTGGTCGAGAACGCCCTCAACCGTGTCTCCCGCATTTCCCGCAACTCATCCCTCACACCCCCTCCCCGCAATAACAACCAAAACAGAATCCCCTCATCCTCACGTACCACCCCACCAACCTCCGGATCCAACGCATCATCCTCCGACACTTCCGCCATCTGCAATCCGACCCCACCACCAAAGACATTTTTCCCTCCCCACCCTTATCTGCTTTCCGGAGGGACCACTCTCTCCAAGACTCCCTTGTCCGCTCCACACTCCTCTCCAGCCCCACCACACCTGGCACTTTTCCCTGCAACCGCAGGAAGTGCTACACCTGCCCCTACACCTCCCCCCTCACCCCCATCCCAGGCCCCAAGAAGACTTTCCACATCAAGCAGATGTTCACCTGCACATCTGCTAATGTGGTATACTGCATCCACTGTTCCCATTGTGGCCTCCTCTACATCGGGGAAACCAAGCGGATGCTTGGGGACCACTTTGCAGAACACCTACGCTCGGTTCGCACTAAACAACTGCACCTCCCAGTCGCGAACCATTTCAACTCCCCCTCCCATTCTTCAGACAACATGTCCATCCTGGGCCTCCTGCAGTGCCACAACGATGCCATCCGAAGGTTGCAGGAACAGCACCTCATATTTCGCTTGGGACCCCTGCAGCCCAATGGTATCAACGTGGACTTCACAAGCTTCAAAATCTCCCCTCCCCCTACCGCATCCCAAAACCAGCCCAGCTTGTCCCCGCCTCCCTAACCTATCCTTCCTCCCACCTATCCCCTCCTCCCACCTCCAACCCCACCCCCATCTCCTACCTACTGGCCTCATCCCGCCCCCTTGACCTGTCCGTCCTCCCTGGACTGACCTATCCCCTCCCTAACTCCCCACCTACACTCACCTTTACTGGCTCCATCCCCACCTCTTTGACCTGTCTGTCTCCTCTCTACCTATCTTCTCCTCTATCCATCTTCTATCCGCCTCCCCATCTCTCCCTATTTATTTCAGAACCCCATTCCCCTCCCCCATTTCTGAAGAAGGGGTCTAGGCCCGAAACGTCAGCTTTCCTGCTCCTCTGATGCTGCTTGGCCTGCTGTGTTCATCCAGCTCTACACCTTGTTATCTCAGATTCTCCAGCATCTCCAGTTCCTACTATCTCTGAATACTTTTACTGTATCTTGGAATATGTGAGATAGCTCAGTGCTTAGCACTGCTACCTCACAGCGCCCAGGACCTGGGTTCAGAAACAGCCTTACAGGGGAAGGTGCTGTGGGGAGGTGTTGGGGGTGAAGGAAGAGTGGACCAGGTTGTCCCTGAGGGTACAGTCCCTGTGGAAGGCAGAAAAGGGAGGGGAGGGGAATACATGTCTAGTCGTGGCATGCCGCTGGAAGTGGTGGAAATGATGTCCCCTCCCTTGTCAGCCTACCACAGGGACCGTTCCCTCCGGGACACCCTGGTCCACTCTTCCTTCAACCCCAACACCCGCCCCACGGCCCTACGGCACCTTCCCCTGTAACCAACGAAGGTGCAACACCTGCCCATTTACCTCCTCCCTCCCCAGTATCCAAGGGCCCAAACATACCTTCCAGGCACTTCCCAGAATCTGGTCTACTGCATTCGCTGCTCACAATGCGGTCTCCTCGACAGTGGGGTAACGACACGTAGACTGGGTGACTGCTTCGCAGAACACCTACGTTCTGCTCACAAAAAAAGACCTGAGCTACCTGTTAAAAACCAAAAGAACTGCGGATCCTGTAAATCAGGAACAAAAACAAAGTTGCTGGAGAAGCTCAGCAGGTCTGGCAGCATCTGTGAAGGAGAAAACAGAGTTAACGTTTCGGGTCCGGTGACCCTTCCTCAGACCTGCTGAGCTACCTGTTGCCTGCCACTTTAACACACCAGCCTGCTCCCTGGCCAACATCTGTGTCTCTGGCTTGCTACAGTGTTCCAGCGAAGCTCAACGCAAGCTCGAAGAACAACTCCTCATTTTCTGCTTGGGGACCCTGCAGCCCTCCGGACTCAATATCAAGTTCAATAATTTTAGGGCCTAAACTCTCCCATGTCCCAGCCCCCCATGCCACACACCAGGCCTTGTTACCACATAGCCTGCCATTACACACTACCTATTGTTAGTCACTAACAGTCCCCATTAACAACTATTCACCCTCCCAGCCTGATTGTTATCAACTGCTTTGTCTGTCCAACTGCTCATCTCTCTCGTTGGGCTCTATCCTATTGTCTCCTCCCTATCCCATCCCTCTTACTATTTTCTGCATATAAACTGACGCTTTCCCAGCTAACATCAGTTCTGAGGTAGGGTCACCGGACCTGAAACGTTAACTCTGAATTTTTTCTTCACAGATACTGCCAGACCTGCTGAGCTTTCAGCA